ACGGTAACAGAGCTTCTTGATCAATCGCTACAGGGACAAGAGCATTATGTGTGATCTTTGTTCGTTGTCTGTCTTTTGAATGGAAGCCGCTAGCAGAGCACCGTGGAGAGGAGTCCGTTTTGACGTATTAGTTAAAGCAGCCTGACCTACCACATTATTTCCATCATATTTCAATTCTTACTCATGCGTGATACTTTCCACTTGCTTGGTCAAGAGCATTATGTGTGGTCTTTGTTCGTTGTTTGTCTTTTGAATGGAGGGCGCTAGCAGAGCACCGTAGAGAGGAGTCCGTTTTGACGCATTAGTTAAAGCAGCCTGATCTACCACATCATTTCCATCATATTTCATTTCTTACTCATGCGTGATACTTTCCACTTGGTGACTCCGATTTTTATCGGAAACATGGAGAATTTCGGCCCTAGACATAAAATTCACATTTTAAATTCACAGCAGGAATTGTTTGTAAACTGCCTACGCTTGCACTGAGGTAGCAGCAAACTCTGAGCATTCTTTTTAACCTGTTACAGCGTTATATGATTACACGAGGATTTCTGAAGACAAAAATTAACGTATAGGGCTCTGTTTCAAGTAATCCTTTGCGTTGCATGGAACTATTCAAAAGGTCCCCATTAAATGGCATGGTCCGAAAAAACTGAACAATGTGATTCTCTTATTAAGCTATACTTTGTGGATTACTTACGTAAATGCTGATAAGCTAACGATAACAGCCCTGGTCTTTTCCTGAATACTGCTTGGTTTCGGTCAGGAAAACTTGCTATGGTAAGCTACCAGTCACACAATAGTTCCAAGGAGCAAAACGGCGTGCAAACCATTGTGCTTGAAATATGAAACCATGTTATCATTTCTACTGGCCAAGTTTTTGTTCCAAAAAATTTGGCTGTTCTACTATATTAACAACTTTCATGTATGCATCACCATCGATAAGCGGCTTGTGGCTGTTATTTCATACAACTGTGGACGATCGTGAGACAGGCATTCAAAAGGCAGCCAGTCAGAATAAGCTTCTGACTGAAGCATCCCACCAATGACTAGACGACTTTGTAAGTTCCATTGTGATTGATCCACATATAGTGTGGCCACATGGTCAGCTCTCACCAGATTGTTGTCAGTTGGTCTTTCCTTGGTTTTCGGGTGGTCTCGGTAACATGCTCATCAACCTAACACTTTTATTTTACATTTCGTGCCAGGTAGGTCTAATTTTAAAGCACATAAAATTTTATATTCCTCGTCATCACCATTTACTTAGTTTGTAGATACAGAATCGATTCATCTATTATTACGAAGAAGTGCACTGGTAGGCTAGAAATACACGAACTAAATTGTTTCAGAAACAGTACGTCGGTCAGATTGGTCTTGGGAGTTCCCAACAGCTCTTTGTGGTTCTGATTGACACGACGTCTCTAATATTCTGGGTTCCTTCAATTTTGGCTCCCCCAAATACATGGCCCGGGCACAACAAATACGACCCACATGCTTCTATTTATCATGTGCCTACTCCAAGACAGTTCACAATCGAATACGCAACTGGATATCTCTCAGGGCTAGTCGCTTTGGATCAACTTACGGTAGGTTAACTGCACGACTCAGTGGGTTTGAATACAGTTTGAATCTCTCACAAGTATTTCAGAAGGGATGACGACCATTATCTTGCTAACTCCCGTGCTCAGCTTTTTAGTAATAAAGACTCCAAAGACAGTCCAGGTGGAATCTACTTGTGTGCCTTTTGTTGTTGCCATAGTATACTTTACCGCTTCCTACTATTATACCAGGCCACACGTAGAACAATACCGCTCATACGCTTCGGACATGCGACCGCGGTTACAACCGAAAACATTCTGGCACACCAGTATGAAGGAGTACTGGGTTTGGCTCCAAAAGGTGGAGAGGCTCCGTTCGATGAAACGCTGTTGGATCAGATGGAAACGGTCGAATCTATCAAAGAGAAACTTTTCACACTCGTTTTCTGTAGGTAAGTTTCTTCTGAATATTGTTTCGGATGTTTCCACCATAGCTGAGAAGAATAATGAAGAGACACTCATGTTCCTCAGAAATGGACTCTCTGTCCATACAGTTTTATTGGTTAAAGTGTAGTAAACTGGTGGGATACCGAGAAATTCCAAACACTGTAATGATGCATTATAGCCATGCGATTGGAAGTTGAGTCTCATTCCTCTGACAGAGTCCACATTTCCAGGGACAAGGATAAGCAGTACACTAGCTGTGTACGGGGCGCCCTACCAAAAAACTTGCCATTCAGTTAACAGCTAATACATTCACCCGAACTACCAGTATTTAGATAACCTGTCCAACTTCTACTACAAAAGTAAAACAAAATAACGCCTTCACGAATAGCTAACAGTTACATCTGTAACGCAGTCCCAATCTTGTTCGTCATATGTAACGAAATTGTTGTGGACCATAGTCCTTTAATGCCTTCTTATTACCGCGAACCCCGGACTGAATAGCCGCCTGTTCACCTGGCGCGCTTGACCTAACCAGAAAAAGTCAACGAACGTGCGAGCAAGCTGCTCTAATGATCACTGTTGCGTACAGGCGATCGAAAGCGATAATAAGAATATAACTCATCTGTCAAGGGCGATTGAAGAACAACCAATGAAATCTGTCCCAACGAAAAACGGTTATTCCATTGGCAGTTCTGGAGTCCCGTTACGACCGGAGCTGGTTCTCCTAATAGGAATAGACCAAGTTGCACTCATCCAAGACCATATTCTAAGGAATGACAAGTGATGAATTGTTTGGCAGATGGATGGAGAGTGTTGTTTGTTCAACCTGTGCCGTAGGCTGATTCCTTGTGATGGCATCTCCAAAAACACTAGTTGTTTTTAGCCACAAAATCAAGGTTATGCGTCCTGGTAAAAAACAATACAGAAGGATACGTTGTTAGCCCTTGTCAGAATCCCTACTCATGTTCAGCGGAGTGTCCTTAAGGCCACACCATTTTTTGTAAACATCTCAACTAGCTTTCAACCTTGACTTAAATTTTTGCAAGGTGGGTCCAACCCGGTTCTACGTCCAGTTTTTTTATAAGAAGTAGCAAGCTTGTATTGTGTTGAACTGTTTAGGGCATCCATCTCACTTCAGGTATTTGTGAGAATCTCTGATACGTATGCAATTGAATCTGGTTTATGAATCCGGTATGCTCTTGGGAACAAACTTTCGACGAAATGATTTTTTAGCTTCAACTGTTTAAAACTTGAGAAACGAATTTATTGCTATGACCATGTAGATTTTCTGTCAACGCGGTGCCCAACAGGTCAATCAATTCTGTGTGTTGAATATGTTCAAATGCGGAAGATAGTCTTTTTTATATCTGACTGCTGTTCCTGCCCCATTGCTCGGTGTCGGAATAAAGCTCACCGACAAGGAACACAACAGCTTTAGTGCGAACTAGCGAGTGCGAGGTTCGAATGCGAAAATGCAACGGTCGCAAACGATTTTGTTGGAAGGACACTCTCTGACCTTGGTCCAACGCTAACTCGCTCTGTCTGGCTGTGATACAAGGCTGTCACGCGCTGCATATTGTGGGGCGTTGTCTGTCTGATCAACATCTAGTTGAGTTGAGGGTTCCAGTAGAGTTTGAGCATTCAGTGATTATTTTCAGGAATCTGCAATTCTTAAGTCTTCAAACTCTTCCTCATACACGGACGGGATCCGTGCCGATTTTTCACGATGCTACAAGATAGCAGACTGAAACCGACTAGTATCAAACTTCGACTAATTCCTGTTCGCATAGCAAACCGCGCAGGCCTTTTTATTCAGCTGGTGGAAACACGTAGTCTCGTAATATCACTGGTCAGTAACCGGTCCTTATGCTCAAGGAATATTTAATGACTTCTGTAAACAGAGAACTTGATCGCATAAAACCATCAGAACTCATATATTCCCATATTCATTGATTTTATTAGAATCAATCGATTCAGGGTTTCATTTTGTGTAAGGGAGAGATTCCGTACACGTTCGTCGGATTGGGACTCCTAACCCATTTTTACTAATAATTCTACATTCACTGAAAGCACTAGGGTCTGGGCGTGTGAAATAAAATGCTAAGATTGCACTAAGGTTTACATAGTATAAACAGCACACCAGAATTGGTGAGCATAAAGGCAAACAAACGGCCAAGGAATGCGGATGAATGCCAAGTGCTGGTCAAAGGCTCAGTGATCGGGGTACATGCGTTAGATGCAGGACATAAAGTAGGTCTTAAGACGGGAATGGCGATTCACATCACACCAGCTGATGTGCGGGGCGTTGAAAACCACCAAGCATCGCGGTGAGAGTAGAATCGATGGTGTGGAACTGGCGAACGTATTGAGAGCATTTCAGATAAGCCGAGCTGACAAGTGAGGGTGTCTGATTGTCAACAAGCATGGAATCATTAGCAAAAATAAGTTGGAAATCCCAATCCGACCATAGTTTACAGAATCCTTCTGGTTACACAACTGTCGTGGTACTTGCTCATCCACGCAGATGGACAAGAGGAGGCGAAGAACCGGAAGAACTAGGCCCTAAGCTGGACTCATGTCCATGTAGACTCTCCATCCTTGTTAACAATAACCGACACAACCTAACAGGCTAAATCCGTTAGCAGTCACCAAACACTGATTTACTCTGACCTAGCCGATTGGTTCTTATTCCACCTTAAATCCCGACCAACCTCGTACCTAGTCACTTAGCTTGACAAAGCTTTCTTGTCAAAAGCGAAACCTTGCCTAGCAGTTAATCTACCGATGGTTTGTCAAACTCCTCTGAAAATATAATGAATTTAGTGCAATGATTTTGTGCAATTTGGTTTCAAGGAGAACATAAGGTTGACGAAAACTCGGGGACTTCGCCACCTGATGAGCCTCAAGAAGGGCGAAACTGGTCATGGGTTGTCAACGAATTTTCAGTAACCTTATGGGTAGTGCATTACGAATATACATGTATCGCTATAACTCGAATATCGTAGCGACTGAAACATGAGGTGTCCTGGTGCAGTACATTCACTTGCCTGGGAACATCACAAGCGAGTGATTCAGCTGGGTTCCAGGTGAGTCTCTCGCAAAACCAAATTTGTTTGCAATATATGCGCACACACCAGATGGTTTGATGGCGATTGTTGGTAACCCACTACGGTTAACAGGAGATGAAAAATTTGGAACTAACTTCAGAATATCTTTTTTTCAACTTAGCCACCCGGAGGCCTATTACAAAGTCGGGAATCTAACGTTTGGTGAGATTATCCGGGAGCAACACGTGGGCAACATCGATTACGTACAGTTATTCACGGAAGAGGTTTGGTCGTTTGTCCTAACCGGGTAAGCGGCAAATGTGACCTGAATGCATCTATGAAGTAAATAGGTCTTTCAGCGTAAACGGCTAGACATATAGGACCATTTTGAATGTAAATGGAACCCGTGGTAAAAGTCAGTATAAAATGAATATTTTTAGCATGGCAATTATAGAAAGTAAAATGGAGTTAAGCTGTGAAACTTTTGTGTGCTTGCATTACCCTCCGTTGAAAAATGAAGCACAGGATTTTGGCGTGAACTCGCGGAACGTGAGACACTAAACCCTTCAGTAAACTTGTACGTGCTTTGGTAACAAAATTTCGGGTGCACATCTGTATTCCTAAGCCCAATAGGGCCATGTAGCTATGTGAGATTTGGATTCTTATACTGCCTTATACTTGGTTTTAGCGTCAGTGTGGATGGCGTCATCGTAAAAGATCTCGCAGCTGTCGTGACCATAGATAGTACAAAGCCTTATATTCTGGGTCCAAGTGACATCATATTAGCTATCCATCAGAGATTATCCTTCTTATCGGAGGAGAATGGACTATATCGTGTCGAGTGTTCTCTGCTGAACAGTCTGCGAGATCTTGCCTTTCATGTTGGCGAAAAAGAGCTGAAACTTTCTGTCGAGGATTATGTCATTCAGGTAAGCTAGTCATTATCCACCCTCGGAATTGCATTCCTCGCGAATAACGGTCAATACAGCTGGTGTCTCATTCTCTTTCGTTGCTTCAGACAATGGCTCAAGGTGTTCCCCATTGCTACTCCGCGTTGAAACACAATCCATCGTCCCGCCGCTGGATTTTTGGCATTCCTTTCTTACAAGGTTTCTTCACGGTCTTTGATCAAGGCAGGAAGCTATTAGGGTTTGCCAAACCCAACTGTTAACTCGCATTCAACCGCGTCTGGACCTCAATACCTGATTTTTAATGAACCTGTGTGTACCGATAGCACGGATTCCAGCAATTCGTCCCCGAGAAAAAAACATTTGATACTACAACCATCCTTCACTTATCCATTTACGCAACTATCTTTACTGAATAATTAACACTCAAAAATCGGCAGAAATAGATTTCCATTGGATGACTGTTTTAATTAGGGAACGTCCTCAGGTTTTATCGATCCACTTCCCAAAAGCTTCCTTCAAGGCGAAACCGGTGAGAGGAAGAAGGCCTTCACTGCGGAGTTATTTATTCGCAAATACCAACTGACCCGTTACAGTCCACTGAACAGGGAAGCAAAACTCTAATCTCCATCTTAGTTACAAAAACTGGACACAGATCTTCTCCCTAACGAGTCTTCCTGGAGAGTCATTGACTCCAATCATTCGTTGGTCAAATCCAAGCAAATGTTACAAAGTGGCTCCGCGAATTCTGCAACAGAATTCCCTTTTTCAGTCGACGCAAAGCGAAATTCTACGAACAACACATATTACTCGCAAGCCTCCCGATCAGTAGTATCACCGTTACACCGGTATTTTTCTCAGTGCAAAGTATGTACCTATTCTCCCTGTGTAGAACCCATGTGCCAACGGAAGCACGGGGGATCCCGTGTGAGTACTACCAGACAGGCTAAATTTCAATGCGAATGAAAAACAACACAGTGTGTGGGTTCGGAGGGACACACAGGTAGAGAAACACACTCATATTCCTTGTTTCGAAAAAGGTTCAGTTTTCAGCGAACTGAAATACGAGCATACTGCCAAGATTACCACGAAAATACAATCGGCCTTCAGTTTTTGTTCCAGTAAGCAAAATGCACTTCCTAAGGGGAATAGCACACGCACAGTAGAATGCAAAATCTGAGGGCTGAATTGTCACACTTGCTGCAGTTTGTAGGTTTGTGGTTGTACCATAAAAATAAGTTCAGTTTACATAGAGAAGCACTGCTGTTTACTCTTAAATAAGAAACATCAGAAATGAGTATCCTATGAGCTGAGCCCACGACCTGTCGGTTAGTAGCCGCAAGCTAAACCAGCCAGTTTGATTAACCTCTACCCAGATGACGCATAGTGCCCATTCGCTTAATCCATGCGAAGCACTTCATGTAGCCGGTGTTGAGTGAGTGACCATCCATGCGAAACACTTCATGTAGCCGGTGTTGAGTGAGTGAGTCGAATGACGAGTTCTCCGATGGAAAGTTCACACGAGTACACTCATGTTTCGTCCCGACGCCATGTGGTGTTTTGAGAACAGATTTAACCACACCATTAATGGTCTTTTAAAAGGTGACAGTTGTCATCAGAATGTCAAACATCTTGTAATTGCGTACACGCTAGGACGGAGTTCGACAGTTGTTACAGTCTCAAATCCATAAACATTTGCAGCCCATGAACAAGAACCCGAAATGTAATGGGATTATGTAACTCGCTTTTCTAGTTAAGCCATTTCGCTGAGCTTGGGTTGCACAGGCTTGGTCACCAATCGATGCGTCGGTGTTTAGCTTGCTATTCTATAGGCTTTTTCGACGGGGACCATCTTTATTCGTGATTGGTCGTTTGGTTGGCGGGATTCGTCAGCTGCTTTATCATCTCGCACTCTGATGTACAATTATGTTTGTTCTTCCGGACTGGTTTCCTTGTTCAGGTGATCCTTCGCCCGAATCCATCTTCTAACAGTATTCGACTTCAAGATTAGCCCCTAGTTGATTTTCGGGTTATTTTCGAACGGTATCGGCATCTGACGTGAATGGACCGTGATTTACCGTCTTTTAATAACACAAAGATTCATCATTTCGTCCAACAGAAATTGCCACACTTTAAATTGAAAGTCGAACCTTTCGGTCAGCTAAAAGTAGTACCTTTCGTAATAATTCTGGCCAGTTTTGGCTGAAGATGAAATACGTCACTGTACCCGTCTCATTTCATGTCAGTTCCCTACAAATGTGTGGTCTTTAGGGAATAAAATTCTCCGTTGTATCAGGTGTTGAATCAAACTTGGTATCCTGGTAATTCCTGCATTCATTTGCTCACTTCGACCTGGTACTTTTGATCACTTCCTGTGTAACGGTGATACTACTGATTGGGGGCATGCGATATCTATTACGGACTTTGTGGAATCGCTTTGTAGCATTTGCTTGCAATTGAATAACTGTCAATGAATATCCAGGAAAGTTCAGGAAGACGTGTTCAAGATGGATATTCATCTTTGTGAACAAGATGCACATGAGAGTTTTGGCGATATCTAGACTTTGTGGAATCGCTTTGTAGCATTTGCTTGCAATTGAATAACTGTCAATGAATATCCAGGAAAGTTCAGGAAGACGTGACGTGGATGGATATTCATCTTTGTGAACAAGATGCACATGAGAGTTTTGCCCCCCCCCCAGCCCAATATTCTGTAACTGTTCAGTTGGCTTTTTCCAATGAATACCTCCGCACCGAAGCCCTTCTTCCTTTCACTTGTGTTGGTTCACCATACCCGCCATTCACTTTGTCACAAAGACCGCCCCATAGGATAGTGCTATTCTAGCATACGCGCATGTGCGTGTCACTTACCTACTTACTCATGCGTTTGTGCCTCAGTTGTTGGGCCTGCTCTAATCTGCTCCGTGATCGCGATGTTAGGCAGAATCAGCAGACTGGTCTCGAAAGGGCTGACCGCAATCCAACCAACGAACCATCATTCCGCTCATCGTTGTTAGGTTTGCGGACCTTGACATTGCATTGCACCGGTCAGCGATAGACTTGGGAATGTGCTGACACCACAAACGTGGACAATTGAGGTTTCTTGTACAAAGTTGCTTACTTTTGTGTGGTTGGCATCGTGATTTGCATCGAGTTGTTTACAAGCACGAGTTCGCAGACGAAGTCAGCGTGTGATAATCCAGGCGCTCCGCGTCACTCCGAATGTGCAAGGACCGTACGGAATGTTGATCTTGATACCGTCTGTGACTGTGTTAACCCAAAACTTCTGTGTGACCACTTTATGTGATCTCAGTCCGGACCTAAGTCTCGACGTTTGAAGTTGGGTTTATTCTCCTTGCCCCTCCTTCTCTTATCTAATCCAATGCAAACGGTTGCGTTTAATCGATTCCCCCCTGTCCAACGTGTATTTTGCGAATACATAGTCATCATCAGGTAACGGCCCTCGGTCTGTGTTGCCATTACTGTCACAGGAGAGGCGCATTTGATCTGGATCTTTCTGTCTCTCTTCCCATATTTACCAAACAGGCCACACTTTGCTTATCCGACCACCCCGTCGAGTTTATATCACTTGTTGCAAGACCGAATTCCCCTCCTCTGTTTTCGCAAGAACAACTCATCTTTGGTACTCCCCCCTTAACATATGTAAACCTCAACTACTCGAATGCCGGATTGGCGTTC